TTTTATAGATTTCATTTTTATAATCAGGTATATTATTGTTACTATTAAATATTAAGTTTTAAGTTTTTATTTGTATACTCTACTGGAATGTTGTCAAGTATTTTGGTTCAACAGATATAAGAACATGGAAAGGGAAGAAAAGAAAAAAAAAGAATATTTTTACTTTACATATGCAGATTCAATGCAGCAAATATTACATAGCATAACTATATCATAACTATATATTGTTTATAGGATGATTGATTTATTGTCTATATTATGAATGTCTTACCATAGTTATTTTTTAGGGGAAATTATTGAAAGAATTGTTTATACATTGGGCTGCTGACCAAAAACAAAACTTTCTTGCTCGAATATTTGAAATAGTTTCAGTTTTTGCTGAAAAAATAAATCAAGAAATTCAAAATGGTGTAGTTGTTCATTAATCTCACCAAGACATAAATGGAGAGATTTTGGAAGACTAATAAAATTATTAAATTTTTATTTTTACATTCATTCTAAATATATATTATGCACAGAATATTATATAAATCAATTTCTGACTCTTTAAGTTGTTTTTGTAATAACTTGGACTTGGTGATATGCAATAATAGTATTTTCCGCAAATCGTCAGGACTTACTTACTGTAAGGAAATGTCATTTCCTTACTGTAAGGAAATGATATTTCCGTACAGTTGTTAGTATTCTACATAAAGTTTGACAATTCAACCTCAATTCGTTTCCATAGTAACCTAAGTAATTTTATTAGGAATTTCAAAGCATCATTTATTTGGGAATAAAATTATCGCGTTGTTTTTAAATCAATCAATATCTGTCGAATTTTAAACGATTTGCGGAAAAATAGTATGTTTACCTCGTAGGAAGAGCCACATTCCTGGACTCTGTGTTGCTAAGTCTCGGCTTGCGCCTCGACTTAGCAATCTTCACAGTCGGCCAGGAATGTTAAGCTTTTCCTACCCAGTAAACAATGTACTATTAATGTGATATTTTTCTAGCTGATATATATAATAAATAGAGTTTACAGTGTTTATAAATTTATAAATGTATGATATTTATATCTAATTATCATAAGAAAAACAGCAACTATCTTTTAAATTTGTGTATACTTGTTAAGAAGCATTTTCATTTTGTTTTCATCACAATAAAAGAACATTAGTAATGTTGTGTTTTACTTTGATTGTATTGATACAGATGGTTTTGTTTTTCCTGTTGTAGATCATCACAAGAAAACTACAAAATTATACTAGAATGTAACATAACAAATTGAATTAGTTGATTATCTCACAGAAATCCAGTATTTTTTAGTAAATTTTATTTAGTGATAACAAATAGGACAAACTCACTGTCAAAATTAAACAAGAATCCAGCATTAAAGAAATTGCAAGTACACACTTATTTATACAAATGTATTGTTTTGCATTTTAGTGCTTTAAATAGATCCTTAAGATATTGATACATAAGTTAAATCTATCTAATGAGGTAACTGATTACCATGCATGAAAAGTAAGACTACACCTCTATTTGAACCATAATTTATTCTGTGATATGAAACATAAAAAAGTCAATTTTAAAGCAGTGAATGGGAAGAAATATGTAAAACAAACTGGCTGAAGCAATTCAGGAGATTGGATTAATTAAGCTTAAAAATAATGATCAAAGTCAAAGTTAATTCTTCTGGTAAGAAAAAAAACCTAGATTCAAGAAATTAATCACACGCAGAATAAGAATATGGTCTACGCAGTCTAAAAGAACAGTATTTCAGAAATCTTTGAACTCTCTAACTTTTTAATACATGCATTTGTATAGCTTTGTTGCATATAAGATCTATTTGCAAATTAAAAGACAAATTTCTGAGAAAAACCATACTTAGATCTGTAACATTTTTGACTCTCTGGATCAAAATATTCTCTAAATTAAGTACCATCGACTCAAAAGATCTATAAAACTGGATCACCCGATATTTAAAGATATATACATGGGACCAAATGTGAAAAATGTCCTTTTTTATTGTAATAATTGTAATATATATTGGAAGTGAATTAAAAAAATATTATTCAAACATAAAGTTAGGTTAGAATTGACGTGTAAGGTTGTCCGATATTGATTACTCGCTTACCGCAAAGCCGAGATATACAACAAAAAAAAGAAGATATATTTGGTGACTTTTCTAGTAACTTTCTTGGGTGTGAATCTGTTTTTTGGTTTACTCCTCCTGGTTAAAAAACAGAGTATAGTAATAAGTTTTAACAGAACGAAAAAGAAAATCAAATTTAATAATGTCATTATGTTAATTAATTTTACTAATTTTAAAACACAATCCTCACAAGGGTAAGCCTATTGAAGATATAACAACTTCATTTTTCTAATGTAGTTTTTTATGTTAATTTTTAGTATGTTTTGAAAAAGAGTACAATAAACTCGAAAGCTTAACAAACCTAAAAGAGTTTTACTTAAAGGCCAATATTGACTACTAAACCCAAGATATCCGTATATATTACTCACTAAAGCCCTTTCTAAGGGAATATATATATATATATATATATATATATATATATATATATATATATATATTAGTTACCTGTACATAAATGTACTGTAATTTCTCAGTTATTATTCAGGTTTTATGTATAAGGTTTTACTATGCAATTTGCAATAATATAATGAAATTTTGCAATAGATTGTATATTTTATTATGTTTTATTCTGTAATATTGATGATTTTAGTAAATTTTAATTGTTATTGCTATTATCGTTTTTTTAAAACCTTTTATAAGCTTTGTCCATAAAATTGTACTATTTTCAGTGACAATAAAGCATATTTCTATTCTATTCTAAAGGTTTCCACTAAATAATATGGTCTCTCAGATATATAGCCTTTTGTCATTTTACGGAACTTAAGGAAAGAAGTTGCAGATTAGTTGCAAGGGAAGATGGTTGTATAATTTTTTTTTGCTGAATATAATATATATTTCTTTAGTAACTCAGTGGACGGGATCAGTAAATACACATCAAAGATTGAATTTCTGAAAGAGTTAAAATTACGTGATTTTTGAAGTAGCTTCTACAATGTGTTATTCTACTGGGGCCAAAAAGATACTTTATTGCCCTTTTTTATAATTTAAAAATAACATCAGATGAGACTTGAAAAAAAGAAAAATATGTTATTTTGGAAGATACTAAATTGATTTCCTTCAAAACAGATCTTATTGCATGGCAAGCTGAGGCTACTTTTTTACTTAACAAATCGATATGAAGAGACCATTTAAGTTTGCTGTCTATAAAAATGCCAGGAAATTTTACAGTATCAACAATACACTGTTTTATCCACATTAAAAGAGAGTAAATTAGAGTCAGACCAGTTTTTTATTTTAAGTAGATCAAAAGTTATAGCTGCATGAAGGGTTGCAATATTAGAGTTCCTAGAGGTGATACTTGTATGGTCAGCAAAAAAAAATTTTTTTCATTGATTGTCAATTATAAAAAAAAGGAAAAGTAGAGGACCCAGTACTGAACCTTGTGGTACTCCACATAGAATGCTTTTGTATGTGGAGTCAGTATCATTTGCTCTAACTAGTTGTTTCCTATTCCTCAAGTAAGAGTGGAACCAATTCAAAGAAATACCTCAAATTCCATAGAAATTTAGTTTTTTATCAAAATGTCATGATTTACACAATCAAAAGCTTTGGCATAGTCACAAAAAATAGTGGCAGTATAAAGATTATTGTTTAGTGCTTGATAGACCTCATGTAGTACAGAAAACATAGCATCGCTGGTACATTTACTAGATAAAAAGTGGAACTAATTTTGTGATAGAATGTTGTTTTCAACAAGAAAGGACATAAGTTTAAGTATGTCTCTCAATAATTTTGGATAGAACCGGTAGTAAGGCAATAGGTCTACAGTTGCAGAAATTAGATTTTTAACCACACTTATGAAGAGGAATAATAATGGCTGTCTTTCGGTCCTGTCACAAATATACCTTTCTCAAAGGTAGTGTTACTTAGTGAGACCAGGACTTCCAACATGGGAGATTTAAGAATCAGAATTAAAAATCAGGAGATTTTTGGATCAGTTCAGATTTATCAAATGGTCTTATAAAGAATGAATTTGAGACCTTTTTTGAATTGGGGAGATAGGAAATAAGATCTTGTGGCAAAATAGTTGATGTTATATTATTGATTGTTTATTTAAAAACAGTTCCACTAAGAATTGATGAATCTCTAGATAAGAGCATTTCTCATACTACACATTTCAACTGTCAAACTCATAAATAGAGTTGTTTGGATTAAAAAACTTAATTTAATTAGCCTATAATCACTGAAATGCTTGAATAGTTACAATATTTACTTTAAATATTATTTCATATGGGATTAAACCACAATAATTGTGGTTTAATTATTGTTATTCTTAATATAAACAAACAATTATTGACTGTAATAGGAATTACATTTTACATTTGTTTTGATTTCAAATTCAGAAATCATTTTCAAAGAGTATTTAAAATAAAATTATGAATAATCTTATTTGTGATCATTTTATTGAAGAATTGTTTGAAAACAATTTCCCCATTGGAAATCTAAACATCAAAACTAATGTAATTCTCATTACAATCAATAATTATGGTTTAATCCCACATAAAATAATATTTAAATGAACAATAAAACAGTAAGTATATTTTTATTTCCTGTACCTTTAATTAATTATTAGGTATTTATTTATTTATTTATTTAAAGCCAGGCAACTTTTTTATTTATATTTTTGCGTAAGTCTCGTAAATATCCACTTTATTGTTGCGCATTCCATATAGTAGGCTCATTATAAGAAAAAAACCCCTCTATGTACCGAACCACCCTACGTTTTTTATTTTTGATAAATGCCGAATTAAATTTTGTCTGCCAATAAATTAAATGGCTCAATATATTCTATAAAATATATATACTTAAAAGCACCAACATCAAATCTTTATATAATATACATTAACAGCATAAATTATAACAATACCTAATTTGATTGTTTCTATGGTAGCCCAGGAATACTTTACCATAAATTATTAAAGATCAAGATAAACACAACACTAAACCTATTATGGTTTTACTCAACACTATCTCGAACTGTATTATATTATGATATAAAAATGCTCTATCTAGGGTATATCGAACATGACTTCCTTTTTGCAGGATTTATTATCGCTCATCGCACTTCTGTTTTATTAGTAAATTCACATTCACATCACAACCACACACGTCACACAGCACAGAATCATGATAATGAATCATAGTACATACCCCCCTAGTAAGGTAACGGTAACTCCCGTATATAAAGTTTTGGAAGAGAGTTTCTAGCGCCAAATACGGACGGGCCGAAACTAATTTCATTTGGCGGCAAATTCAAAACGTAAATTTAGAATTTTAGGCGGCAAATTCAAAAAATATGCTTTGAATTTTAGGCGCCAAAATTCAAAAGTATGTTTTTAATGGAAAGTAAATATAGTCATAAAATAAGAAATAAAAACTTATTCTATACCAGAAAATATATCCTCTCTGTCCAAAAATATAGTATACACCTACACATTTATATATATATTATATATATATATATATATATATATATATTATATATATATATATATATATATATATATATAAATGTATAACATAATATCTGATACAGAGAGAGTATATATTATGGTACAGGAAAGTTTTTATTTAATATTTTATGATTATATCTGTTTTCCATTACATTAACAAACCAAAGTCCCAAAAATAACAAAATAAAACACAAACATCCTGACACTTGTTTATTTGTATAATTTTCTTTGGTAAAGTATTGGCAACAAATATCCTCCTCCTCCTCGTTACTTAAGCCCTTGTTAAGGTGTGGGTGGAGACACTCTAAATATTGTTAACTTGCTGTCTCCATTGGCTGCAATTCTGTACCAGATGAACAACTTCTTGAAGTGATTTTTCCACCAATCTTCATTTAATCTTCCCATCATGTTGTAAGATCGTCATTTTGATATACAAATATAGATACCTCTATATTTATTAGCAATGGTTTGTAGTAAGTTCCATACCTTCTAAAATACTTTTCCTTGAAGTACCATATGTACATAATAAAGTGTAAACCCTAGCATGTCTGCGATCTTGCTCTTCAGAATGATCACAAATTGGCATGCGACTCAATGTAACTGTTACTCAGAAGTAGAAGATCCACCATGAAAATCTAAAATAATGAAATATTATTAAAATTAAGAATGTATTGACTTTTTTTATAAAATAAGGCCAATTTTAGGAATGCAGTGATAAGAGTTAAGAGTTTTAATGAGTTTAAAATCTATACAGTATATAAATATAAGATTAATGTTAGTTAAGATTAAAAGGTAAATTAACTAGAAAAACAAAATAGTATCAAGTTTATATTTACTAAAAGTTTGATATTGTTAGGTGCTGTTCTTACCTGGTGCTTGTAAAAATAAACTCCTAATCCTCAGAATGTTTAATAGCCATTTGTCCAACTTTAACTTTCACCCATCAATAAAAAATATTCTTTGTTGTGGTGGTGTTGTGTGGTGTAGAATTGTTTAATCTTTTCCTCATAATAAATGTCAACCATTATGAAAACAAGTCCATTTCATTTTTTGGGTTTGGAAAACGAAATCGACTGTTTGTGTAGTCGGTGCAACCATGAACATAACATTTTTTTACCTTTTATTCTATTTTGTTCCATTTCAACGATGGTATTTAAAACACAATTTTTAAAATTAAGATGATAATAACCGATAATAACCAAAACCAAACACAAATCTGAATTTGCAATATGGCGTCCCAATCTAAATTAAATTTCGCCACCGCACATCTATCCATTGTCGCGTTGGTTTTCTTTTTGGTTTGGTATGGTATGTTTCTTTTTTGGGGTTTTGTCATCCTGTTTTAGGCTTTTGCCTCTTCAGGATGTGGTTTTTTCTTTTTTTTTGTGTTGGCTTCTGTTTTTTCTTCCTTCGTGGTCCACTGGTGGGGTTTAGCCAGGACAATCAGTGGAGAAAGGCTGTGGTCGGTTCTTTTCAGAATTGATTTCTAAAATAATTAGTGAATTAGTGTTTGTTAAATTAGTATATGTACAAAATGAGATATTAATATATGTATAAATACATGCATTAATATGTTATATGTTATATTAGTAACTGTGTTAAGACGCGGCGCGAGAGGGCAGCTGCGGCTGTATCCTCAAAATAGACAGACAGGTATCGTTTGCAAGTGGGATCGGGAAACCGCAGAAAACCGATCCCCCCTGTCTAGGCAAGCTCGAAGTGAGCAATTTAGCTAGGAATGCGACGGAAATAGAGGGGAGTTGCCTCCTGTATATCAATGTATTCATCAGGGAGTTCGTTACTGGCGAGTTCCAGTAGAATTGAGGGGAGGTGTGGGATTTTAGGTTTAGGATGTCTGGTGAATACATTGCCTCGGGTAGAGCAGACAGTTTTAAGGATGCGTTGAGCTCTGAGGTTTTGGCTCCGGATTGTGCGAGTAGTGTAACTTCTGCTCAGAGAGTGTAGTCTCTCATTTAGAGGCTGGATATTCGATAATTGATGAATGAGGGCTGAGGGGTAGTCGTTGCGTCTGCCATTCACTCTACGCAGAATTCTCCTCTCTAGACTTAGCAAGTTTTCTTTGACAGATTTTGGCAATGTATCATAAATATTGAATCTGTATTCAAAAATAGGTCTGATAAAAGTTTTGTAAGTGAAAATTAATGTTTTAGGGTGTGTAGCCCCGAAATTACATCTCAAACTATTGAGGAGACCCAGTCTGCTCCTGGCCTTAGCACAGGCTATGTTCAGATCGGCCCTCCAGTTCAAAGTTCGTGAGAACTTCACACCGAGGTATTCGATCTGATCACGGAGTTGGAGTTGGTCGCCCCAGAGAGTGAGATAGTTTCTTCCGTTAAAAGAGGCCGCACGTACACTGTGTCTAGGGTGTCTAAAGAGAATCATTTGAGTTTTGTTCGGATTCAGGGACACTCTCCATCTCCTGCACCAGTTTTCAACTAGTCTGAGGTGATTTTGAGCGTACCTGAGAACAGCATCAACGTTCATCGATGTAGTCACCAGAGCAGTGTCATCCGCGTAGAGTAGAGTGGTGGTATTGTTGCGTAAGGTACTTGGGAAGTCACTGTTGTAAATTATGTAGAGTATGGGAGCCAGTACAGAGCCTTGTGGTACTCCAGCTGTTGGAGTAAAAGAATCTGAGAAAGAACCACGCTCTTTTACCCTGACCAGACGTTCAGAGACATATGATTGGATTAGTCTGACGAAAGGAAGTGGTAGTAGTTTCTTGATCAGTCCCACATGCCAGACTTGATCAAAGGCTTTTTGAACATCGAGAAAAATACCTAGTGATAATTTACCGTCGTTCAGACTTTGAGAAATGTGAGTGACAATTTCTGTCAATGCCGTATTAGTAGAGCACCCTTCTCTAAAGCCGAATTGAAATGAGGGGATGATGTTGTGTTCGTTTGTGAAGTCAATGAGTCTTTCTTTTAGGATTCTCTCAAAGACTTTTGCTAAAGCATTTGCGAGTGAAATCGGCCGGTAAGAGTTAGGATCAGTGCGGGGTTTGCCCTTTTTTAAGAGCATAATTGTATTTGCTACTTTCCATTGTGACGGAAAATAGCAGAGTTTGAGAGTGGCATTGACAATATTTGTTAAATAAAGGTAGACACTCGGAGGGAATTGTTTCACGCAGCTCCTGGCAATATTGTCAGGACCCGGTGCATTCGATTTGCCAATTTGACAAAAATTTTTGAAAGTTTGTTGATCCACCGGTGCCATGATGGGATGATCATGCGGCACCTGAGGATCGAAAGGGGCACCGAGTTGTCTGTTTACGTCTCTTTCAGTCGCAATCAGGAAGGCTGGGTCAAATCTAGGATTATTAGGTGTGATTAAAGTGTTTTGTAAGTGGATTTTAAAGGCATCGGCCTTTTGTTGATGTGTGTTTATGATTTGATTGTTCACTAGCAAGTGAGATGGATTGTTGGTTTTTTGTTTAGTTAGGCACTTTCACCTGTAGTTTGATCACCGCGGACAGACGGTTATATTCTGTTTTGATGAGAGGATTTCGAGTACGTTGAAACTGACGTAGAAGTCGTCTCTTATGTTTGATATTATTGATTATATATTGTGGTAGAGTTGGCTTTTTAGGGTTTATAACCTTATTAGGGACTGATATATCAATTGCTTGATTTATCAGATTTGAGATAGCCGTGATACCTTGATCGATATCATCTGTGTGTACTAAGTTGCCTAACTCTGGAATGTTAGTTGACAAAAAGGCTCTGTAGCGGTCCCAGTTAGCGTGCTTATAGTCTCTTATTACTTTGGGTGGTGCAGGAGGGGTGGGTGTAAATATCTGTTCCTTAACCAGCAGTGGTAAGTGATCCGACGTGATGGAATCGCCCAGAAAGCATTCGTCATCTAATAGATCAATCACATCGTACGTGCATACAATATGATCGACTATCGACGAGCCCTGGTGACCCACAAAAGTCGGATCACAATTACGGATGCGGTGGATAGGAAGATTAATGAGCATGTCCGAAAAGTCATTGCCTGCATGATTTGTGACAGTGTCACCAAATTGAATGTGTCTGACGTTAAAGTCGCCGAGAATAATTGCCTTATTGAGGCTAGATATATAATCAAACAAAATTTCGGACATGTCCTGGTGAGGATGCTTGTAATAATAGACTATCGTAATTGTCGTGTTATTGTCAAGGTGAATGTCCACTGCCAGGAAGTCAACATCATTAAGGTTCAGGTGCATAGGTGTAACATGAGGGGAAAAGGGGATACCGTATTTGATAAGGAAGCCAATACCGCGAGATATTTGGCTTTTAGGACGGTGTACCGTGCAGTAACCGGGGAATGTTGGATCTGTTTTTGAAAGGGTGTCGGTGAGGGCTAGGATTTGGATATTATGATGTTGAAGAATATGTTTGATAAGGGGTCGCCTATTCCGAACACCCTGGCAGTTAACAGCACCTATTGAACTGTCCATTAGAGGGGCAGGAAGGAGATGGAAGCTCTGTTGTTATGAGCCACAAGAGTACTCTTGTGACCGAACATCAGAGTGGAGATACGGTTGGTTATATCCAGGATAAGCTGACGCCTATCTGGAAGGAGGTTAATGAGGATGAGGGAGGTGAATTCCATCACT